GTAACACATCCTCCTGGCCACAATGACTGCATCATTGTGGACACATGACCTCAGCTGGGCCAGCCAGAGAGAATCCTGGCACTTTTGCCAGAAAGATTAGGCAAGAAGTGGTGCCCCCTTCTTGCTGGGGTTGCTAAGTGAGTGTTCGTCTCTTCTTCCACTTGTGGGGGATCCTCTCGAGAGATCCTGGTGATGCAGAACTGGAGATGGTGACAAATAGTTTCTTAACAACATCATTTGAGGGCCTAGATACAGCCAGTCCTGAAGCCATACATGCTCCAATCAATCCTTTGCCTTTTAACTAGTTTGAGTTTAGTTTCTAATCCTAACTGAAAGAGCCCCATTCCACCAATTTTACAAGGGACACGATGAGAATTAAATGTTAAAGAAGGAAGGGGCCTTAAAGGCTGGTAAATAAAGCAAGACATGAGAAGTGCTTGGGAGGTAGAATGGGACAGTTACCCCATGGCATCATGTGGGCACAAGTACAGATGCCAGGGAAGAAGGGACCGATCATGTAGACCTCAGCAACAATGAGTAACGCTTAACGCGAAGAAGTGATGTCCACTCTAGAAGTGGAATTGGGGGCCCTGCAATGTCAAACCTAAGCACAGGTTCAGATAGGATGCGTTCTAATACAGCCTTGCTACTCCACGTGCAGCCTGTGGGCCTGCAGCTTTGACATCTCTTGGAGTTTGTTGGGAATGCAGAATCTCAGGCTCCACTCCAGACCTACTGAATTTGCATCTTAACCAGACCCCAGATGGCCCATGTGCACGATCAAAGCTGAGAAGTACCACCGCAGCATTGTTGAAGTGACTGTGTAGCGTGTCCATAGATCCCTTCCTGCTGATATAAACATGCTGCCAACCCATCAGGAGGTGGACAGTTTCCCCTCCCCTTTTATCTGGGCTCTCACCCTGTGGCTTAGTTAGCCGGGTAGAAGGTGATGAAAATGGTGCTGCCAGTTCTGCGCCTGGTAGCCTCTGCTTCCTCTTTCAGAAGCCAGCTGGGTGCGGTGGCTCACACCTGTAATCCCAGCACTTTGTGAGGCTGAGGCAGAGGCTTGAGGTCAGGAGTTCGAGATCAGCCTGGCCAACATGGTGAAACCCCATCTCTACTAAAAACACAAAAATTAGCTGGGCATTGTGGTGGGCACCTGCAATCCCAGCTACTCGGGAGGCTGAGGCAGGAGAATCGCTTGAACCCAGGAGGCAGAGGTTGCAGTGAGCTAAGATCATGCCACTGCACTCCAACCTGGGCAACAGAGCAAGACACTGCCTCAAAAACAAAAAACAAAAAAAAGTCAGCCTACTTGCCCTGAGACCTCCATGCTGTAAGAAAACCCAGACGAACCGCATAGAGATGTTTCCTGGAGGGCCCAAAAGTCCCAGCTGTGTGAGTGAGGCCTTCTTGGGCCACCCCGTCCAGTCCAGCCCCCAGCTGAGTGACCCTCACTGACACAATGTGGAACTGAGTCCTGCTCACATTCCAGACCCAGAGAAGTGGAAGAAATACGAATCTTTGCTGTTCCAGGCCACTATGCTCGTGTTATTTTGTCACACAGCAGAAGTTACTGGGACTGTGACTGTTTTCCTCCTCACTGAAGGAGGGGGCTGTCCTGCAGAAAGTTCCTGCACTCTGAGAACCATACTGAGTGCTTTCTGCCTGTCAGGCACTGTTCCAGGCACACAGATGGAGTGGGAGAGGGCAGACTGCATCCCTGCTCTGGTGAAACTGGGATTCGTATCCAGGGAGAGGGCAGTAGACAAGAAAACACACAAACACGATAACTTCAGAGAGAGAAGGAGAAATTTGGAATGGGGCTGGAGACACTGTTAGATAGAATAGGGAAGGTCTTTCTGAAGACACACACTTGATCCAAGGCCCTCCTGTTGAACAGGGGCAAGCCATAAAATGATCAGAGGAAAAAGTGATGCTGGCAGAGAGAACAGCAAATGCAAAAATCAAAAAGTGCAGGAGGTCTGGGAGTGAAGGCAGAGGGAAAGGGAAAGCCAGGAGAGGGGAATGAGATCAGAGATGAAGTCACAAAAGTCAGCAGGGGCCAGAGCAGCAGCGTCTAGCACACCAGCCACCAGCCACCCACGGCTCTGTAATCTAAGCTTCCATTTAAACAACAAGTGCAACTCCTCAGCCCCACTGGCCACATCCCAAGTGCCCAGTGGCCCTGTGTGGCTAGTGGCTATCGTATTGGGCAACACAGAGACAGAATATTCCCGTGACGGCTCTGCTGGCTGAGATGGCTATAGAATAACTCAGAAGCAGATCAGAACCAGAGTTCGAGGTCAGACCATGTGCTCTTGGGCTTAGTATTCCATTAAATTTCTGGACGTTCCAGTTTTCCCCAGGGTTAAATGAGGCTTTTCCAGCCTGACAGTGAGTCCAAATTATCCACAGCAAGAAGCCAAGTCCACAGACAGTTGCACACGGGTCCTCCAAGGAACATCATCAGCAAGGCCTCATCCATGGAAACTGGCGGCAGAGGTCTGTGTAACTGACTTCTTTGCAACCTCATTTAAGTTGCCAATTGGGGCTCCCTGATGTGAAAAAAGAACAGAGCATGGCTACTATTTCAAGGCACCACGCAGAAGGGAGAGTGCCACAATTAGCCGAAGCTGCTTTCGATTAGTAGATTTTCTTCCTTGGTATATAACATCTGTCCGTGTATAGACATCGCTCCATCTTGCCCTGTCAGAGTGAGGGGCTGGGCCAGTGAACCAGACGGGCCCACAGGGAGTTCAGCATCCATCAGGACAATGTCCAGGAGGGGCTGGAAATAGGCACTGTGGAACTTGGCATGTCAGTGGCAGTTTGTCTTAGGAGGAAGCTAAGAAAGGAGAGTGCTTCCTGCTTCCTTGCACAAGCTAGGAGGCGGCAGATGGAGACAGTTTTCCTTGGGGTTGGAAAGACCTGCTTTGTCATGTAGTATTTATGACATCTCCACAAGTACCTGAACCTCTGGGGTGGTTACCTAACCATGCTCATCTGAGAAACGGGGCCGATGACACCCACCTCATGGAGTTGGGGAGGAGTATGTGAAATAATCTCTGGAAACACACTTGACATGCAGCAGGTATTCTGTAAATGGTGGCTGAATCATAATCTTGATAGGAAAGAACCAGATGAACGAGAGAGATGGGCATGGGGACGTTTGATCAGCACTCAGACCTGGGTCCTCCATTTGTTCAGTCAACACAGGTTAACTCTGCAGATTGGCTCTGGAGCCTTGGAAAACTCCCTCAACCAGTCTAGGTTCCTCTTTCCTACCTGGGGCCTGTAGCTGATCTCTGTGGTTCTTTGCAGTTCTCCTTGCCTAACAGAAAGTTTGCAGCTGCCCTTAAGGCGTGACTCATCTGAGTTCAATCGCAGAGGCTGGGCAAAGTACTAAGACCCAGAATCCTACAATCTTGGATTTGGAAACGGCCTTTAAAGATCTTTTGGTCCAGCTCCCAGGTGATGACAAGAATCCCGTTCCCTTCCATGCTGACTGAAGAACCAGGGCCTGCACACTCTTGCTGCCTCGCAAAGCAGCCCATTCTCTTTTCAGAGAGCTCTAATGTTGGGGATGGTCGATAGAGAGTGAATGCATGCTCCAGGTTAATGGCCCTCTTTAGACGTGCCACCAGCACAGAACAGTCTTCAGTTTCTGTGTCTGTAGAATGAACCTGAGAACGCCTGCTTCACAGAGGTCTGAATTAAGAGCGACAACATAGGTGGCGGGTCTGGCATGGGAGGTTCAGCGTTTGCTCCCTTTCTCTTCTCCAAATTAAACCTGCTGCAGGACGCGGACCACAGGTTGCTCTAGCACTGGCCCCTCTACTGTCTTTTTCCCTTTTCCAGTGGGGCCTAACCTGGGCTAAAATGTTCTTAGCATGCTTGGTGAACCTTTGGCATCTTAGACTTGTGTGTGAAGCAGAGGTTGGCTTCAGCCCATCACATATAAAACTAAGGAGGGATGGCAAACCCTAAAGGTAAAATATTTCTCTGATCCCCCCACCCCCACCTCCCTTTCTACCTTACAGTCAGGGAGAGCCAGGAGTCTTCTCAAAATCATGGGGTCCCTACAGAAGCCACTCCTTCGTGGGAGAAGGGACTCAGCTGCAGCTGTGTGAACGTGTTGGCACTCACAGATCGTGAATGGACCATGGACAGACTGTGGGAAAACACGAATGGGCCATGGTAGGGAAGGCAGCTGTACCTCCTGGGGCCCAGAACGGGTCCCCACTGTTTGCTTTAGAAGACCTTGGGCCTCAAACCACCCTCGACCGAGTGCAGGTGGCCCATATGGAAAGAGCCAGCATCCTCTTTGAGAGATGGCTTTGGCCTCTGTCCCCATCCGCCCACCTTAGATTTTGCCCGCTTTCCTGGTGTTCTAATCCATCTACTCATTTCCCGTCACTATCCCAAAGCTCTCTTACTGTCCTGAAAGGAAAGAAAGCAATTTGATATACAAGCGGGTCACCGGGAGGTGGAGATTTAAAAACAGGCAAAGCAGGAAGGTCTTTTACAGAAAGGAAGGGCCGTCGTACACATTTTGGATGGGAGGTGGCTGCGTCAGCTACCTCTGCTTATCCTGCTATGTGGTGTGTCTTTTGGCCAATGGCTGTCCCTGACCTCAATTCGGGCTAGAAGTGATGCTCTAGTGAATTTGCCATACGAAAGCCTGGGCTCTCTGCTCTGTCTATTAAGAACACAGGTGACCTTTGCCCAGGGAGCTGGTGCAGGTGGCAAGCTGAGTCTTAGGGGAGAATAGAGTACCGCCTCCCACAGATGGTGACACAGCAGGAAGAGCCTGGGAAGGGGTGTGTGCATCAGGTCAGTCAGCTTTCCTAGAAAGAGTTTGGGGCTTACCTGGCGAACCCCCAGCCACCAGTTTGGCCCATCTAAACCTGTGTGAGAATAAGACCCTAAAGTGCTAAGACAGCCAGCTGTTGTCTGTATCTCCTTCCATGCTGCTGGGGGAAGTTCTGAATACTCACCAGGTGCTCCTGACAAGCCAGTGGCAGCCGGCAGTTTGTCTCAGTCCCCTTGGATCTGGAACTGCAGGCCAGAGGTTCAGCTTATGTCCCAGGTCCATGGAGCAACCAGTCCCAAGATCCTGAATGGACTACATTGTGATGTCACTCCACGGGTCAGGGGTGGGCACAGGAAGGGCTGCTGTGGCTGCTGGCATCAGGGCACAGGGCAGGGCAGGAGCAAGAGCCTCAGGCCTCTCCAGAAGAAATCGGCCTGTCTAGGTGCTGTTCTCAGCTGAGGTTGCTGGGAAGGAGTGAGGGATGTCTGCTGTACAGAAAACATCAGCCTGGAAGACTGCTGATGAATCCATCCGCTGCCACTTCCTGCCACAGTTTCTATTCTCACCTGGCCTGGGTCACTTCAGTAAAACCAAGTCCATCCTTTATACAGTTTTCCCGCACAAAGCAACTTCTGTGGGTATCCCCAGCTCCTTGCACATCTGCTGTGATGACTTAAAATTCCAGGGCAGCTTTTTCTTCTACTGGTATACCCGTAATTTTCCCCTACTGCTCACCTGGTAGGGACTCAAGAAAAGAGAAGTAACTTAAATATTAACTCAGGAAAACAAGCAGAAATATAAATCCTCCCAACTTCAAGTTAAATTCAACACAGGTGTCCTTTAGGTTATCTTCTATAGCACATATGCCTGGCCTACTTTCCGTTGTTGGTAATTGATAACTTGGTACAATGTATATTTACTAAGCCTAAAAGGGGGCAAAGTATAAAATGTTTCTGGAGGTTCCATCCCCTTTTGCCACTGGTGCTTGGGATTGGGGGTGGAGGAGTTCTAACCAAGAGCAAACGGCTTCGCTTTGGAAACTGTTGGGTGGCCCTAAATTTTAGAGTCCAAAACAGTGGATCTTAAATTTTAGGTTGCATTAGAATGACCTGGAAGACTTGTTAAAATACAGATTCCTGGGCCCCACTCCCAGAGTTTCTGACTCAGTAGGTCTGGGGGAGAACCCAATAATTCACATTTCTTACACGTTCCCACATGACGTTGAGGCTGCTTGCTCTGAGACCACACACTTTAAGAACATGTAAGGGTGCTGGTATCTTAGGTTTGATCCTGAAATAGTATTGCCAACTGATGGCAGTATTCAGGGGTTGCTGGAGAATAAACAGGAGCTGTAGCTTTGGGACCAACGCTGGCTGGTCTCTCTGGGATCAACCAGCACGCTTTACTGAGGATCTGTTCATTGCCAGAACTCAGCCATGTTTTGGGGAAGCACAACGGACATTGTCGGTGCCCTGCCCATAGCCTCTTGGCCTTACGACTTCACTGTACAAAGGGAGTCTGACTCCCAGCTACCAGCACCTGCAAATCTTTACTTGAGGGCTTTTACCAGCTGCTGGAGTCCACCCTGCCTACAAGCGGGCAGCTGCAGGTTCCAGAGGTTAAAGCCTCCCAGGCTTTAACTTCTCATTCAATGACTATTATGAGTTGGTAGATAAATACCCCAGCTCCCTCCCTGCTCAGGTGGAATAACTTGGAGTCATGTTCTGTACCATGGCCCAGAGGACCCACAGGACTCACCTGTAGGTGCCTATGGTAGGTCATTCTGTTGCTATAAAGAAATATCTGAGGTTGGGTGATTTCCAAAGAAAAGAGGTTTAATTGGCTCACAGTTCTGCAGGCTGTTCAGGAATCATGGTGCCAGCACCTGCTTTGCTTCCAATGAGGCCTTAAGGAGCTGACAATTAGGTCTGAAGGCAAACAGGGAGCCAGTGTATCACATGGCAAGAGTGGGAACAAGGCAGGGGAGGTACCACACACTTTTCAATTAAAAAAAATTTTTTTTTTTTTGAGGCAGAGTCTCACTCTTGTTGCCCAGGCTGGAATGCAATGGCACGATCTTGGCTCACTGCAACCTCCGCCTCCCAGGTTCAAGCAATTCTCTTGCCTCAACCTCCAAAGTAGCTGGGGTTACAGGCACCCACCACCACTCCCAGCTAATTTTTTTGTATTTTTAGTAGAGATGGAGTTTCACCTTTGGCCAGGCTGGTCTCAAACTCCAGCCTGGTGATCCGCCCATCCTGGCCTCCCAAAGTGTTGGGATTACAGGCATGAGCCACTGCTGCCAGCCAGGTACCACACACTTTTAAACAACCAGATCTCACAATAACTCACTATCATGAGGACAGCACCAAGACATTCACGAGGGATCTGCCCCCAGGACCTAAACACCGCCCACCAGGCCCCACCTCCAACATTGCGATCACATTTCAATGTGAGATTTGGAGGGGACAAATATTCAAACCATATCAGTGCCCACAGTGGCAGCTGGCTTGCTAACATACCCCACATTGCTGCCCATATCCCCTGCCTCACCTCCCCACTCCCCTTCCTGTGTTTCCTGGGATCAACTTGCAAATAAACTACTTCCACTCAAATCCTTGTTTCAGGGTCTGCTTCAGCGGGAACCCAAACTAAGACTTTATAAATAAGAAATGGTTTCTGTTCTTTATAAGTTCACATTTAGATGGAGAAAGTATATAAACTGGCTTGGCACAATTCAGAACATCTGGGAACTGGTGAGTGTCAGGTCTCAGGGCAGATGGAGGTGTTCTGCTGGTTGGCCTTTGGAGTATCATCAAGAATGTCTTGAGGAAATACATGAACTGATATGCTCAGGGGGTGGCCTGGCAACCTGGCCCAAAGGCCTTTTCTTCCGCACAGGGAGGCCTGAATGCCCTACCTCCCAGGGGACTGATTTGCTACACAAACTCCACATGCTTTCCACCTCCCTGGACAATTCCCCCTGGAATAAGAATATTGAGGTGGAGCTAGCACCATATTAAATATGGCTCTTGTTCATGCTTTTGGGGGAGTTTCGGGTGCTTAGAGAAGGCTTTCTTGGGATATCTGCTGGCCTGTTAGGATTAATATGCTTTCCTAGGTGCTCTGCTCAATACCATACTATGCCCAGCCTCACACCTGCACTATGGTAGGATTAATCCAACTCTGCCATTGCTTTTGCAGTGGGCGTTAGTTTCTACCCTAACTCCTTCCACATTCTCCTCCCCATCATCATCATCATCATCATCATCATCATCATCACCACCATCAGATCTCTTAGAGATCCTGCTAACACACATACAATCCCAATGAAAACACCATATGGCGAGAAAGCACTCTTCAAGTCCAGTTCCCATTCTTCCAATCAGACATGGCATGTACTGAAATTCTGGAATCACCGCTGAAAAGATCCAGTCACTGCTTGGCTGGTCATTCACACAAATCATTCTTGGGCAACATGGCACCCAGAGTTCTTTTCCTCCACATTTCAACTTGGCTAGAGGAAGAATGAAGCCTACTGTACCAGAGCATTGCATCAATAACAGTATCGATATTTTTCAGTAATACCCAGGACTCAAAAAATTGCCTCAAACAGTTTTTAGCTCTACCTCTAGACAAAGAATTACAACTATAAAAACACTTACCTCTGAAAAAATGTTCAACATTATTAGCAATAAGGGAAATGCAAATTAAAACCTCTATATGCTCACTAGAATGGCTAATATTAAAAAAAGCAACAATACTAAGTGTTGACAAAGATGTGGGGCAACTGGAACTCTCATATAATGTAATATAATATAACCACTTTGGAAAATTGTCTGGTAGTTTCTTATAAAATTAAACATAAAGACCTACCCCATGACCAAGGATTCTACTCCTGTGTAATTACCCAAGACAAATGAAAACATGTCTACAAGCTGGGTGTGGTGACTCATGCCTGTAATCTTGGTACTTTGGGAGGCCAAGGCAAGAGGATCATTTGAGGCCAGGAGCTCAAGACCAGCCTGAGCAATATAAAAAGACCCTAACTCTACAACAAATAAGAATAAAGAAAACATGTCCACAAAAAGATTTGTGCAAGAATGATCATAACTGCTTTACTCATCATAGTCCCAAACCAAAAACACCCAAATGTCCATTAACAGGTGAATGTCCATTAACAAGTGAATGTATATTCTTATAATGAAATATTACTCAGCAACAAAAGGAACAAACTATTGATGCATATATGATAACATGATAAACCTTGAAAACATTATGCTGAGCAACAGAGGCCAGACATAAAAGAGTACACACATGGTTGCCATTATATGAAATCCGGGAATAAACAAAACTGACCTGAGGCTACAGAGATAAGGTCAAAGATTGCCTGGAGTGGGGGATGGGGGAACAGGCTAAACAGCACAGGTGACTTCGTGGGATGAAGGGAATATTCCAGATCTCTATCATGGCGATGATTACTCAGGTGTATACATTTGTCAAAATTCATCAACTTGTACAATTAATGTGTGAATTTTAGAGCATGTAAATTACACCTCAATAAAGGTGACAATATACACATATATGTATGTGTAGTATGTGTATATGTAATGTGTAATACACACACACACACACACCCTAGGTTTTTCTAGGGGAAAAAACTAGAAAGAATATGCTAAAATGCGTAAGTCGTTATGTTTCACAGATGAAATTGTAGATAATTTTTTTCTCTTCTTAAATTCACCAACATTTTACCTATGCGATTCTACCTTTTTTTTTTTCTTTTTTTTTTTTTTTTGAGACAGGATCTTGCTCTGTACCCCAGGTTGGAGTGCGGGCTGTGAACATGGCTTACTGTATTCTTGACCTCCCAGGCTCAAGCAATCCTCCTGCTTCAGCCTCCCGAGTAATTACAGGCATGCACCACCACGCCCAGCTAACTTTTTTTTTTTTTAATTATTGTTTGTAGAGATGGGGTCTTCCCTATGTTGACCAGGCTGATCTCAAACCCCTGGGCTCAAGCAATCCTCCAGTCTCTGCCTCCCAAAGTGCTAGGATTACACCACCACACCCAGCCTTACTTTTTAAATAATAGAATGAAAAATGTTCATTTTTTAAAATTTCAAGCTGCTAAAGGCAAGTGCTTATGGTGGTCCATAACAATCTGGAGTTATACAAACAGAGTCCTTGGTCAAAGTCCCTGTCCCACTACTTCCTCATTTTATGACCTAAAGGAAGTTATTTCATGAGCCTCAGTTTTCTTATCTATATAATCGGTTT